TTTTACAAATAGGGGGTGTTTGGTCATCTGCAAGGTTATAAGGGAATGTTCTTGCTATGTTGGGGGTTTTTTAACATAAGTTTTTCCTCTCTTATAATATGGTCTTATTTTCTTATAATCAAAATTACATAAATTTTGAACTCTTAAAAATAAAATTTATTGCTGCTTTACAGCTGCACCCAAAACAAAGATTCATCATTTTGTAGGAACTGGTGTATTCAAATAAACTCCAACCTACAGCTACTTACTATTTTATAGTAAATAATGTGGTAACTACAATTTATTGTGCTAAGCACTGCACTAAACATGTCAATCTACAAGAGAACTTGACAAGGTTGCTGGCATCTTAATTTTGCAGAAGAACAACGTAAGGAAAAGTGACTACTAAAGAGATCAGAGGTAAGAGCCATTACCTAAGTGGTATAGGATGGGTGGGTCCAAAATCTGTTTTTCCCAACTGTTTCACGGCAGTTGGAAACTGACCCACAGCTGACCCCCGAGTGGGAGTACAGAGACTGTAAAGATTGTCCATCTTTCTCTCACAGGACAGCTAGTGGATAGAAACCACTTGCCTTTAGGTTGGCAGTGCAAACTCTTCCCACTAAAGCCCCAGAGAATTAAAAAAAAAAGACAGAAGAATATAACCTATAGTACATTTCCAAGGGAGAGGGGGTATGGACATTATTGGAAGAGTGGGTTCTGTGTTGGGTGTTCGGAGTCTCTTGTTGGTATAGGTAATAGAGTCAACTGCTAGCCTAATAGTTGCAGGTTCAAGTTCACTGAGAGGTACCTTGAAAAAAAAAGGCCTTGTGATTGACTTCCAAAAATATCAGCCACATTAAGCCCTATGGAATCTACTATACATACGCATAGAATTACAGCACATATGGATATTAATGTAGAAATACCACCTGAGACATTCACGTATGGTCATGGTAATAGTCCTTTTTTAAAGGGCCCCATCTGTTTACCCTACTTATCTATCTACTTGAAGATTAAGACTTATTATTGATGATACTGTAGATTATACTTGTACTCGTGTTTACTTTTGATGATACTATTTCTTATGCACTTCATGTCTTTCCTTTAGAGGTATTATGTTGATAATTCCCTCAGTATATTGCCATTCTCTTCAAGGTCAATTGGTATAACAAAGTCCATAAAGATAATATTTGACATCCTACTTTGGTGAGTAGTGAGTGACTGGCATCTTAAAAGCTTGCAAGCACCATATAAGGCACAACTATGGGTCTCTTGCTATTTGGAACAAAGAAGACGGAAGAAAAGCAATACGGTTTAAGAAGAATTAAGCGAAAAAATTAATGGACTAGGTGAACCTCAACGTCCACTACCCTGAGATTGGAAGAACTAAATGGTGCCAAGCCACTACTACTGATCATTCTAAAAGGGATCACAGAAGAAGATCCTTGTTAAGAGGGAAAATGTCGAACAAAACTAACAGAAGATGGCAAGGCTTACGGGTTCAACAGAGACCAGTGGAACTCCTAAGACTATGGGCCTTAGCCTTTGGAATTGGGAATAAAACTCATCCCTGTGACTCAATTTTCAGCTAAACAATACACAAGTTTGTAAGGTGACCAATAACACAAGGCAGACACGCACTCCTTAGAATAACCAGTCAAAAGAGCGGCATTTGCCCAAAGATAAAGCCCCGAAGGCAGCAAGGGGTATGATAGGATTCATGGAAAAGAAAATTATAGGGAGAAAGTGAGTAGAGTGTAATTACATTATTAATGTTGTTGTTATTGTTGCTGTGTCCCACAGGGTTGGAACCTACCCATAGCTGACCCTCCAGCAGGTTTTCAGAGGTAGTTAGTTACACAGAAGACTTCCCATCCTTCTCCTGCAGAACATCTGGTGGATTTGAACTGCATGCTTTCAGAACTGCAGCACAGCCAGCCACCAGAGCTTCCTATCATCTCTTTCATGAAGACTGTTTCATATCTTCAGCTCTTTTACAGCAGCAATTTAGTTAACAGCCATGTTGTTGTTGGCTGCTGTCGAGTTGAGCACAACTCATAGTGACCCTATGAACAAAAGGCCTGAAGCCTTTTTTATAATTATCGTCATTTATTAAAGATTACAGAGTTTCCAGAGGCATGTTGTTTAGGAAGTGGATGCCACTCCTGCTTCCAACTCGCCACATATTAGGGATTAAAACAAAACACAAACCTAGATTGTAACTACGTAGATTATAGTTCAGTAGAAATGGAGTGAAGTCAGAGCAAATGTCTATTTTATAAAGTTCCACAGGTGTAACTAAAGTTGAAGAATAGCTAAAACTTGAGGCAGGAATTTTAATTTTACCTTTAAATCCTCATTCTAACTACTTAATGAATTTCTTATACACACACTAATTTCAGGAGTTGGATTATCTAAAATGAAGAATGAAGGAATGTTCTGGGGAAAGTATTGTTCTCTATGATATTCGAAGCACATGCTATCACTACTCCTTTCCTCTCTTGTCTTTTGTACCTCTAAAAGAAACAGCATTCTCAAATGTTTTGGTCTCAGATCTTTTTCTATTTCTTGAAAATCACTGCAGACTCCAGAGTTTTGATGTTTACTGATGTTATACTAGAAATTAAAACTAGAACATTTTGAAACAATCTATTCACTATCTCATATAAGAAATTTAAAAAAATCCTATTACACATAATATAAATAACATTTTGTTAACAGAATAAAAATTATTTCCCAAAAGAAGCAAGCAAACAAAAAGAATAGCATTGTTTTGTAGTTTTGAAAAATCTTTTTAATAAAGCTTAAATAAAAGATAGCTGGATTCACATATATGGTTTTGCATTCAATTTGCTGGTAATTATCACATGTAATGTAGCATCTGCAAAAGTTCACAATGAGAGTGAAAACAAAATCAATGTCATACTATTAAGAGATATTTTTTACCTAGGTCTTAGGGATATCCCAAGGGTTCCCAGAAAATAATGTGAGAACTATTGCTGTATTATATTCTACCACAGAAAGACAGGTTATTTCTGCAAGTATATATGGAGCGCCTAAATTAATTCCCTCTGACATTGTAACATGTCAATTAACACTTTTCTTAGCCAATCAGAGTTTAAAACAATCCCATATTTCTCTGTACATTCACTAGCAGGAGCTGTTCTATTTCAGTTCCTGTTAGTACAACTGGAGAATGCAAAAGTGCAAGCTCAATCTTACGAGATCCTAAGCTTCCCCTAGGTATCATTTATCTCAAGGCTCAGATCATAACTCTATAAAAGGAAAGCCTTTCTGACCCTTCATGGCCAAGATCATATTTCCCCTTCTCCATTAAATCATCTTAGAATAGAATCCTTATCTAAAGTCCTAGAGCATTATCTGAGTATTATGACATTTTTCACATTCTATTTTTCAAGTACTTATCTGCATGTCTATCTTTATTACTGTAACTAGAAATTAATTCCTTGAAAAGACAAAACCTCATCTTTACATAATCCCTAAACTTTGTCAGTTGAGAGCACCTACCAGGTATTTAACAATTGGTGAGAATACATTAATATTTCTGGCTTCTACAAACTCTGAACCATTATCTTAGAACAAATCACATATAAAATATGGTATGCTAAAAAAATTTTTAAAATATGATATGCTAAATGACAATAATAAGGAACCTTTAAATTTAGATCACTGGAATGAAATATTCATCTGTTACAGCTAAGTATCTGACACAAAATTTCTGAAGACTGAAATGTTTCAGAAATTAAGAAAAACAACTTTGTTTTAAAAAAAATAGATTTGATCTCACTTATAGACATTGTGAAAACATGCTGGCAAGTGAAATATTACATAGATTCTGTTTTGTTTTTAATTTATTCTTTTTTTTTAAAAAAATTTTTTTATTATTATTTTGTGTGTGTCTGTACCATCAAATCAGATCCGACAGGTACAGGAGGAGATTGCCCCTCCTTTTCCGGCAGAGCATCTGCTGGATTCGAATCACGTATCTCTGGGATTGCAGTGCAGCTTCTTGCACTAGGCCACCAGAGCTCCCCATAGATTGTTTTTTTAATGTTTTCAATAAATAGCATAAAAATAAACTTACTTTGCAAGAATTTTTTTAATATATGTGAAAAGATTTAGTATTTTATTTACTCTAGGGTATTGATATACTTGCTAAAAATGTTAATGAGTCATATATACTAGTATTCAGGTCTATTTTTTAACAAAACTTACGAAAAGTTCTAGTTTACCAAATTTAATAGCCTACATATATATAGAGTTTGAAGACAGTCAGATCACATCTAAAGCAATCAATTCTGAATGTCATCTTTGAAAAACCTTTGCTAAATGAGAAGGTCCTGGATAATAAAATTAAGAGTCTGGAAGTAATTTTCTACATGGAAAATAACAAGTCTCCAGATGTTAAAAATATCTTCACATAGAAAATAAGAGTTGCTTTCTTAATTTTATAGGTTAAAAAACCCACTACTGATGAGTCTATTTTAACATCTATACAACGGAGTAGAACTACCCCATAGGGTTTGTAAGGTTGCAAATTTTTACAAAGAAGTAATATGTTATAAGTATGCTTTGATTAAAATTAAGAAAATTTTGTATTGTTGGGAAATACTGTTCCCAACAATAAGCAGTCTTATGAAGTGGTATAGTCTTCCATGGAAAGTACTTAAATTGGAGAGTACTTAAACCATCAGACATAGTAATTAAGGGACATTTCACTGACAAAAGGGTGAGTTCCTTGTTATACATGACACTATTTACAATTTCAAGCACTAAACAGAATTTAGACTACTTATATAAATTGAAGTCATATAAGATGACTTAATGTTTCAGGGAATTTTAACTAACTAAAAACTTTGCCAGGTTTTAAGAGCTATGTAGAAAAGAGGAAATTACAAATCACAATGTATTTGGTCCATGTTTTTAACCATGTGCTAAAGATAGTGAATATAAACCCATAAATAATGGTTTTTTAAAAGCTTACATTCAAAACTCACCAGAATTCTGTTGTATTCCCCACCGTACTCTCATTCTGAACTGCCGAGCACCACTCTGCTGAAGTCTTCTGTTTAGTCTGGGAAAATTCTTCTTTCCTTCCTTTCTATTCAATCTGATGATATCATCTATATGATAAAAGATATTTTCATTCTTTTAATTTTAACTTAAAGACACAATTATTCAATTTCACTTTCTCACTGAGAGATTTTATTCCTAACTTCTCTTCTCCTTTGAAAGCACCTTCAAGGGCTAAACAAAGAAGAAAAGCTCAGAACAGCCACTGGAATGCTGAGAAAAGTTCTGCAGAAAAAGTTATATATAGCCCAAAGAAAATCCACCAATTAATCGGGAGTTCTATCATTGATAGTATTTTTCCTCCTCACTAGTATAAATAAGCAAAAGGCCTATTTACAAAAGTTATCCGTATTTTCCATAATCATGAAATTCCATTTAAAAAATAACCCATAAGGAGGCAATAAAAAAGTATTTCCATTGTAAGAGTAAGCATCTTCTTTCCATAAATATTCAGCATATACTATATATGAAATGAATATACATGGGTGGCAGTGGTGGTGGTTGTTGCTGTTAGGATGTGTAATAATGAAAATGTACAAGTATGGTCCCATTTCAATAAATTTGAAATTGTGTGAAATTATATATAAATAGCAAAACCAAACCAAAATTAAGATAAATCTTTCTAAAATGTCAAAAGCACTAAATATTTGGTACCAAAAATGCAGTAGAGTTCTGAGGCTGTAAATCTTTCAGGAAGCCGACTATCTCACCTTCCTCCCATGGAGAGGTTTGTGGATTGCAATCTCTAGCTTTTCATGTAGCAGTCCAACTAACACACTATGCCAGCAGTATGCCTTTAAAAAGTTACCCCAAACCTACAGCCTTCAAATGAGTTCCAATGCATGACAACCCTCCATTAAGTTTCAGACAGTGTAAATGTTTGAGAAGATTATAATTCTCCTAACACATGTTTGGTATACTTGAACCATCAACCTTTCATTAGCCCAAGTCATACACTAGTCATACCAGTCTATTAAAAACATACTCACTGACATCTAGTCACGTCTGCCTCAAGAATCATGCATCCCATTTCTGTAGGTATAAACCTTAAGGGGAGGAGACTATCTTTTGCCTTGGAACAACCAGTGGATTAGAAATGCTGATCTGTAAGTTAACAGTTCAATGTGTTCAGCCATGGTTCAATTCTAACTCTATGACAATGACTTTGAGCTTTTTAATTTTAATGTAAATCACATCATCACACAGCTCTAATAACAGATCAAGATGAACATGAGGTAACTCCAGATTCATACGTGTATGTGTGTATATGTATTTGTTATGTGCCATCAAGTCACTTACGATTCCTAGTGACCCTATGTACAACAGCTTTGAACCCTGCCCTGTCCCAAACCAGTCTCAATGACTCTGAGACATCTACCCCCATTGTCCTAGTTACTGTATCAATCCATCTCATGCAGGGTCTTCCTCTCCTGTGCTGTCCCTCCACCCTTCTGAGCGTGATGTCCTTCTCCAAGGATCGGTGCCTCCTGGCCATGTGCCTAAAGTATGTGAGGCAGAGCTCCAAAATCCTAGCCTCTAAGGAGAGACTTGGTTTCACCATCTCCAAGACAGATCTATTTCTTTTTTTCCTTGGTGGTCCAGACTCTTCTCTAGCATCATAACTCAAAAACATTGATTCTTTTTCTATCATCCTTAATCATGATACAGCTCTCTGATGCACAGAAATTAACTGTGAAAACCATGTCCTGGATCAGGCACACCTTAGTCTCTAGACTGGCATCATTGCTTCTCAGTACTCTGGAAAGGTCCCTGACAGCAGATTTACCTAATGCAATTTGTTTTTTTATTTCCTGACTCCAGGTGCCAAATATTTTAAAATTATTAGAATTATTAGAAGAAATCATTAGAAGCTAAAAATACTCTTTTCAGAATTACCCAAACACTTCCTCCATAGTCTCCAATCCCAGTATTTTTATGATTGATAATGCAAACTGGTCAAATAAAACTTATGATTAACAACTTAGTAAAAAGTCACAAAACTAACTTCAATATTTATCTAAACCGTTTATAAAGAAATAATCTAACCAACATCTATGTCAATATAATTAGCTTCTCCTGGTCAGAAAAGAAAATAATTACAAAGATTCTTTCTAATATATTATTCTCTCTCTCTCCCATCTGTAATCTCTAAGACTTAATATTCTTCTAATTTTATCAAAGAAAACTGTTTTCTCTTCCAAAAAGAAAGGGCACTTATAAGATGAAAAAGTGGAATAAAACTTGAGGGGGAAACTCACTGTAATGAGCATCTTTATTCATTGCCTAGTTCTCCGATACATAGCAAGTAACTGCAAAGACCATGGCTTGGTACAAGCATACCTTAGTCTCTAGACTGACAAATTCCATATATATGAAATTAATTTATATTTTTATTAATTTTAATGAAAGTTTACAGAGACTTTGGATTTCCATTCAATCATTGTTGCTCTTTTATCCCTGACCAATCCCCCCCCCAGTTCACGCTTTGAAAAGTAAAATTATTTCATTGTTTATACAATCCTTCCCTGCAAGTCCACTCCACTATGAAACCGTCGCTCAGGACTCCTGTCATGACAATAATACCTAATCATATACCCCTTTTAAACAGTTCTTTCCCTCATCTGTTTCAATGCAGTATACATAATTTAGCCCATCTTTCTCAGTCTCCCCAACCCTAATGGCAGTCCCATTTTACAACAGTGGCACTATACAGTATTTGTCCTTTTGTGACTGATATATTTCGCTCAGCATAATGTCCTTCAGGGTCACCCATTTTGTATACTATTTCATGAGTGCCTTGTTTTTCAATGCAGCATAGTATTCCATAGCTTCTCTATCCATTTGTTTGTTTATGGGCACTCAGGTTGTTTCCAACTCCTTGCTATTGTGAACAAAGCTACAATAAACACGGGTGTGCATATATCTGCTTAGGTGGCAGTTATGGTTTTTTTAGGGTATATTCCCAGTATTTGCAATTTTTTTGAGAAAGCGCCATATTGCCTTCCATAGTGGTTGCACCATTTTACATTTCCACCAACAGTTAATAAGGGTTCCAGTTTCTCCACAACTTCACCAGCATTTGTTGTTTGATGTTCTGTTAAATTTTGGTATTCTTACTGGGGTGAGAGGATATGTAATAGGTTTTGAGCAATGAGCACTTTATAAAAAAAAAATTCTTCCAAAGTACTAGGAGTAAACAGTTATAATCAAAGTAGTAATATTAACTAACTGAATACTAACAGGTTTATTATTTTTGCATGTATCATTTTAACCTTCCCAACAACCCTATGAAATAAATTATTATAAAGGGAACTTTGGTGGCCTAGTGACAAGAAGCTGTGATGCAATCCCAAAGGCATTCAGTTCAAACCAAAGAGATGCTCCACTGGAGAAGGAAGGACAATCTCCTCCTGTGCCAGTTAGATCTGACTCAAGGATACCCAACAACAACAACAAGAGAAAAACTCCCACAAAAACAGTAAAAAAAAAAAAAAAAAGAGGAAAAAAAGAAATCATTATAATAGCCACTATACAAATTAAGAAATTAGCCATAATTCGGCTAGCCACTGTAAACCCTGGTAGATATTCTTGGTGAATAGTTGCATAACTCAGCAGAGAGAACATTAAAAACAAAATGAAACATATTCTAAAATCTGGCTGTTAGATGCTGTCAAGCTGATTACTACTCATAATGACCCTATGAACAATAGAGCAGAACCTTGCCCTATCCTGTGCCATCCTCGTATTCTTAAAGCATAATGTGTGTTTAAAAGCATCACCTCTTCATCCCATCTCTGCAAAATTCTCATTAAAAAGAAAGGAATTTGACAAAGTATATTATGTTCTTGGTGGAGAGAAGAGACTAAGCTCTTTACAGAACTTCATTATTCTCATCAAGGAGGACTGCCTTTTGTTTTGTTTTTGTCATTTGAATACTGTAACCATCAAATGAGGTATGGTTAAAAAACTGTGCTGCAATCCCCAAGGCACTTGGTTTGAATCCACCAGCTGCTCAGTGGGAGGAGGATGGGCAATCTTCTCCCATGCAATTAACTGCTTATGAAAACTCCCTGGAGGGTCAGGTCTGAGTAGGTTCTGACTCCATGGCACACAACAACAAAACAATCACCAAACAAAAAACATCCTAGCTAAAATGTATTCATTACAAAAGATCTATTGCTTGGGACCCCAGAGCTAGACAGAAATCCTGCATCCACTACTTAACTCCTTGTGAAACCCTGGGCAAGTTACATATGCCACAGGTTTCTATCAAGTTACAGTGGCTTTTTTAACTATATGGTGCTTACTGTGAAAGGCCAATTAATTTCATACATGGCAGCAATACTGTAGGGTAGATTAGCACTATTAACACTCTTTTTTCATACATGAGATACACAGAAGTACTGTATTCATAGTCACATGGCTAGGAAGTGGGTGAAGAATTTGACTTAAGCAAGGATAGCTCCAGGTTCAAAGATGTATTCCCTGGAGGCACAACTGGTTTGGATCTGGCACAAACGATAGCTGCAACTAACACCACAACCAACACTGCTAACTGAAAGGTTGACAGCAAGCACTCTCTTCCCTCAGCAGCACTTGAGAAAGACCCATGAAGATTACAACCAGGAAATCACTCAGGGTACACACAGGGCAGGCAAGAATTGGAATTAATTTGATGGCAACAGGTTTGGCAGTGGTTTTTCACGAGAAACACATATACCGCTTATTCTAAGGATAAACATATAAAAATGCTAGGCTAGTGCTGGCAGGTAATAAGCACTGAACATTCCCTATTGCACTATTTCTTGGTCTTCGCACAAAAGATTTCTTTCAAGTACACTATAAAGGTAAGACTTGAAGTCAATCCTATCCCTTCTTGTGATTTCTTTAGCTCCCATATTGGATTCTGACTGGTGGCAATCACAGAAATCAAGCTTTCTTAATCCTCCAGATAAACCGTAACAAAAGAGATACACGTCAGGACAATCCTAGAATATATTTCTAAGGTAGATAGTATACTAAATATCACCACTGAGAAAGTGTCCACTAGTCAGCACTTTCTAAACACACACACACACACACACACACACACAAATTTAAGCAACGCAAAGCCCAGGTGGATCTAGTGAACTAATACCTTAAACGTGAATCCCGGCAAAAAGGAATTACTCTGAAACCAGGTAAGGAAAAAAACCACCAGTGGCCAGTGCCTTGGAAATATTAAGTCTGAATGTGTAAATGGCTCGCCAATCTTCCTGCTTTCATACATATGATAATCAAACCACTCCACCATTCTTGTATAGGCCAGATCCACACTCTTATGCTTCTCATCCACCCACATATATCTCGCCTTCGGTTTCTGCTTCAGTCTTATCTAATTCGTTAACTTTGAGGTCTAAATAGATTTTCAAGAAATCATCGAGTAAAACAAGTCTTTCAGTAATGACATCTTCCAGAGAAAAGTGCCGCTGCTCCGTTGGTGGTCCCCAGGTCTCACCGTCCCTAAAAGATCGAGAACTCTCGGGGCGTCTCTATGTGTTTCTCGCAGGCCAGCGCACAGAAATTGCTCAAGTCTTTCTTTAGAACCACTGCTTCCAACTGAACGCATTCCCACGCGGGGTCGCAGAGATCTTTCTTCCGAAAGGACGGCTTGGTTGGGCCATTCCTCGTCGCTCCGCTGGTAACGCCGGCAGCGAACCTGCCTGCGGGAAACCCGCGGAGTTCCCGCACAAAGAGCTGGGGTGACCCGCGAGTGGTAGCGCCCCTCCGGGGGGAAAAAGAGGTGCGCACCCTTCGCTCTCCCAGCCTCCTGGCTCCTAGCGTCGCTCGCCCTGACTTCTCCTCCCGAGACACAGGCTCCACCGGGGTCCCTCCGCCCCGATCCAGGAACTCGGCACCAACTTGCGCCTCACCTCTCTCCCCACGGCTCCCCACTTGGTTCAGCCCACCCGCAAGAAAACTCAACCGCCAACTGCGGCCAACCGCCCCTTCCCCCACGAACCGCGGCATTTGGTTCCATCTACACCATCCCACTACCCCAAGTCGGTTCAACTCGGCCCCTCACCCAAAGACATATCGATTTTATCGAGGTTTTCGTTGCTGCGAGCCTTCGTAGGTGGCGACGGGGTCGCCGCGGCTCCCACTAACCGAGTACCAAACCGGTTCATGGCTGGAGAAGTGGCGCTGCAACAGTCCGCCGAGAAGGCCAGAGGCGGAGGCCTGCCACCTCCCACTCACGCACACCAACTAGCTGCACCGAGAGACCGCGCATGCGTGCCGGCGGCGTCCTCGCCCTCCGCTGCGGAGGAGAGTAGGAGGACTACAAAGACGAGTGGTGGTCAAGAGCAACCCCACGCCGGTACTCTCTCCTAGCGGCCCTTTCAGGCCGGGAGGAAGCATTGCAACCTCTGCTCGGGGCACTTACCAGGACTTGTATTGGCATTTCGTCGGGGACCCAATTTAAGCTTCGGTAGACCCTGATCATTAAAGAGTCACTTGCTTCACATGTTATTTTGTTCCTCCGTTTCCTTCGAGTTCCTTCTGCTGCAGAAAGTCCCCTTTAATCTTTGGCACGCATTAACCTTGCACATCCCACTGCAATGCAGAGTGGAAGGCATGACAGACCCCCTGAGCGTAAATTGCAGAACTACGTCCCAGGTCCGGTCCTCTCTGGTAAGCTCTTTCACTGACAGCATGCGAAATCGCCGCATCTGAACGCAAAGCAAAGGCTGCAATGACAATTCTTACGTCATCGTAACAGTAAAAGTAAATGCTAACCTTTGTCGTACCTACGCCACTTCTCACCCAGCACTTGAACACATTTTACACGGTACTTTTACCTTAATAAAACCTCATCTTCTCTTTGAAGAAGGGTAAGTACTTCTGTGTCTTTTTGGCTGCGTGTTTGTGGGTTGTTGTTTCTTTTAAAATTAATTAGTGCTGGAAAATACAAGAGAATGTATTTCTTTCTAAGTACACTTAGAATAATAATAATAATATTAACCCTTGTATAATAACTTTTCCCCTGTTGACAAAACATAATATTTCCTGTGCCTCTTTACCTCCATAACCTTCCACATTGTATGAAAGCATTTAGGTTATATCATCTTAAACAATCTCAGACATTTATCTCTAAAGGTAAAACCAGAGACAGGCATCGTATACGTTTAGAAATCTCTGCACCTTCTTCCTCTCCACTTCCTCAAACTTCTTTTTCATAGAAATTAGCCACAACTTTGCAGTAACTCAAAGCATCTCAAAACCACAGTAACCTATGCTTAATTTAGGATGTCAAAATATCACCAGTGCTGTGGTTGTCAACTTCTTCAACATCAATGACACATTTTACTATTTTTAGCTTGAGGACTCTGCACTTAAATACTTCTTGTTATAATGGCTTGTTTTCCATTTTTACATTAATAAAAAAGCAACTTCATACTCGCTCCCTTTTCTGTGTCTACATGCAAGGCAGAAGCTGCAGGGACAATTTTTTTTAAATCACTTTAGCAATAAAAGAAAAATGTGAGCATTTTCTGTTTCTGTAACATAAGTCAAACATCCAAACATTGACTTATGATCCTATCTGAAAGCAAAGATCAATCTCTTTATATAGCCTTGGTAAATTTAATGTGGAGAACAGTAAAGGTTTTTTTATTAGGCTTATGGGAATTAGATATAGATACAGTTATATAGATATGTACAGACAGAACTCAGTAGTCTAAAAAGTCAAGTTGTTTTTTTTCTCTCTGTGATAAAAATATAACCATATAAGAAAGTTCAGATGGACGAGCTCCGTCTAACTTACTTTGGACATGTAGTGAGGAGAGACCGGTCCTTGGAGAGGGACATCATGCTTGGGAGGGTGGAGGGACGGCACAGGAGAGGAAGGCCCTCTATGAGGTGGATTGATTCAGTGACTGGGATAATTGGAATGGGAGTGTCAGAGACAGTGCGATTGGCACAGGACAGAGCGGAGTTTAGGGCTGTTGTACATAGGGTCGCTATGAGTCGCAGGCGACTCGACGGCACACAACAACAACAACAACAACAAGAAAGTTCATCAACCTGAGAGGCGGAATGGGCAAGGAGGAAAATGTGCAACAATGAATGAATGGAAATCCAGAGTCTCTATACACTTTCATTAAAATTGCAATTTAAAAAAAAAAAGACAGTTAATCAACCTAGGACATACCTATCAATGTGTATAAGAAACCTTATGGTGGAGGAAAATTTGAATTCAGAAAGCTCTGACAACAAAATTCAGCATGCTGAATTAAGGACACTAGAATGTATGCTCTTAGCACAATGTACCTGATTTATTGCTCCTCCATATTCTAACTTCCTCCACCCACTTTCCTACCTGCTGGGAACTAAAGAAACTGAGTTACATACATTATTTTTTTAAAAAGGAGCATGTGAGAGACCCAACTTTTATTGAATGGCACCTTTTCTCATTCATCTCAACAATTCACAGGAAAGGCAATGATCTGTTTCTGTTAAGATTTAAAAAGCAAAACAAAATAACGCCGTCGCTGTAGAGTTTAGTCAGTCTCATGGCAATACTGTGTATTATAGCATAGACTCTTTCCATAGGGTTTTATTTAATGCAGTCTTTATGGAAGCAGTTCACCAACTCTTTCTTATAAGGTGCCAATGGATAAGTTTCAACAGCCAACATTTAGGTTAGGGTTGTTATTGTTCAGTTCCTTCAAGTCCATCCCAATTCATAGTGACCTTTTATATGACAGAGTAGAACTATCCTATGTTGTTATGAGCCGTCGAGTTGCTTGTGACTCATAGCAATGCTGTGTACAAAAGCCCTAAACCCTGCTCTATTCTGTGCCAACCTCACTGTCTCTGACACACCTACTCCCATTACCCCAATCACTGAATTGGTCCATTTCATCAAGGGTCTTCCT